CACTTACAAACCTTTGCAAAGTACATAGTATATTAATTAAAAGTATGATTTCTGAAGCCAGACTGTCTGGGCCCAAATTAAACACTGCCTCTTACTGATTAATTCTGGGAGTATATTCACATTCCTCTGTGCCTCAGCTTTCTCACCTATAAAGGGGATAAGTATACTAACTTACCTCTTACGGCTAAGTGAGAATTGAAGCACCTAAAGCATATAAAACACTGAGAGGAATTTAGCTGTCAATATATGTTTGCTCTTACTATCCTTGTTGAACTGGAGAAAAAACAGACTCAAAGCTATGTGTACAAATTGGGGAATAGCAGTAGGCAGGTGTATGAAACATGAGAAAGCTGTCTCCACGCACTCACACCTCAGAAATGGTTCTACCCTGGGAAGAAGAAAAGACCACAGGTGATTTTCCTAACCCTATGAGTTGAATCTCAAGAAAAGTTTGAGTCTTGAAGGAGAGGGAAATGAGGAAGGAAATCATTTTTTAAAATTCTTATAATTAGACTCCACTGATCAATCTGTCTCCTTTGAAAACAAGTGTATCTACTATTGGAATCAGTATCATTTTACAGTTATCTCTTCTTAAGCTAACATTTGAGTTCAAGGCAGAATATTAATATGTGTGTGCTTACTGTCTGAGATAATCCTTGACACTACCAGCCCGAATAAATACATTTTTTAAAAAGAAGTAACTTGGGGAAAAAAAAAAACAAAAAACACTTACAATATCATGAAATGATAGAATTAAGATTAATATAAATTATTCCTAACAATTCTGCAGTACATTTCATAAAATAGAAATTTTTACGTTTCTAAAATGGAAAATAATGAACTGAATCAAAATAGAAACCACAAACTGGAGAACTGCTGAATCAAATATCAACAGTATTCATTTTACTGTACAGAGAACTCATACATTCACTGAGAAAAACCCCAGGACCCCACAGGTAATAGGCAATAGACAGTTCTGAGAACAGTAACAACAACTAGCCAATAACTATGTGAAAAGCTTCAAGAATCTTAGAAATTAAAGAATTAGAAATTTTAAAATGTAAATTTCCAGCTGAGTACTTGACATTTGTTAGACAAAAAGGTCTAACAAAGGGGAATGTGAGGTAAATTGTTACAAGTATAAAAAAGAATCATATGTAACCACTCAAATACTATTAGCATTATAAAAATGGTAACACCAGCATATTAAGTAACAAAATCATAATTCAAAAAGTTGATTTCAAAATCATTAATTATGTAAAATATATACGCTAAGGAAAAAGTAGCAATAAATTTAGATCTAAAAGAAGCCTTAGATCAGAGGTACCTCAGAGGTTCCCCTTCCCCACCTCTCAAAAATTAGTCTGACGCTTTCGTTTTCAATTAATTGTGAATACAGACACAGGCACACTAGTCTCAGGGGTTTCAGGAGGAAAAGGGTATGTGCCAAGAGCAGGTTGTGACTCTTGTCCTCACAGTCTCCCTGTCCTTTTACATTCCTCCCCTACCCTCCCTTAAACCTTCCCCCAATCACAGACACCCGGAAGCCCCTGCATCTCTAACCACCCTCCCCGCCAGGGTTGCCTCCCCCTCCCCTCCCCCCACTGCGCGCGGAGGAGGCCAGGAGCCTCCCTCCCGCCCCTCCCCCCACCACAGCCCCTCCCTCACGGTCCTCTCAGACCCCGGCCCCCCAACCACACACACATACTCTCCCCTCTCACAGTTACACCAACAAAATCACACAGTGTCTCCCCTACCACACACTCTCACAGGACCCCCTAACTTGTACTCACTCACATCCTGCACTCACCTCACCTACTGTCAGCTTTTTCTCGCTCTCTCTGTCGCTCTCTCTCTCTCTCTCTCTCACACACACACACA